GCCTGCCTCAAATTTCATTCTTTTCCAATATTCTTGCACACATTTCTTCCCAAATAATCCCATTCATTTGTTAATTTTATCCCACTTCTAGGGATATTGATATGAACTGGTTGTTCTTATCACCTGGCATATATCCTGACTGGTCAGTAACCATATCATATAGTGGTCAAATATTTTGAATATCACTCTTGATTATTATTCCTTGCAATGGCTCCCCAATAACACAAAACTGTCTAGTCTCTTTAGTGTAGTATACCATGGCTTCTTATTCTCAGGCTGGTGCCAAAGCCGTAACACTAGTTTCTCTAACACAAGGCTTCTCCACTTGGGGCCTACAGATACATTAGGTAGAAGTGGGACTATGTAAACATGGATGGAAAAAGTTACAACTTTATTTTTGTTAACCTTGAACTGTACTTTGGTATTTCCTTCAATTATGAATGCAGGCAATAAACCATAGTAGTATCAGTAGAGTCTATATTTTGTCACCTAAGATTATAGATATTTCTAAATTACAGTAAACTTATTACAGATAACTAAAATTAGTTATGCTCATTACTACAAATTTACAATAGTTACTATGACTGATATTACATCTCATTATTTTATATGTTAATAAAGATTCACATATTACTTATATTACATATTTGTTTAAAAATATTTTGATAACTATATTTTAATATAATTGGTTCTTTTATAACCCTATGTATGTATTTTATGCACTTAAAAACATTAGTCTCAGAAAAGGTCCACACACTTTATGAGACAGCCAAACTCTCTGGCACTTCAAAGATTTGGAATCTATACTCTTAATTGTTTGCTCATCCATCTATCTTTCCATCCATCCATCTACCACACATTAATTGATTGCTTATCATGTAACATGGATTGTGCTAGATCCCAGACAGTGTCAAGATGAGAAATACACAGTTCTTTTCCTTAAGGTGGGAGAGAGAGGGAAGGCTGAGTGTTTAAACACCGTGTGGTAACTGCAGTATCATAACTTTACATAGGGAGCATAGGTGCCCAGGGGAAGGACACCCAACCAAAATCAGGAGCTGGGGAAAGCCTCATAGAAATAACATTAGAGTCAAGCAGATTTAGTCAGGTGAAGAAATAACATAACCCATGAAGCCACAAACCATGGTTATACCCTTTTGTAAACAACTATTTGTCTGACATTATTTGCTCTAGGAAAGGGAAACAACTTTATACAATGTTGAAGCACTGCAAAGATACACACTTGTCCAAAATTGTACACAAAGTCTCTAGACTTTGAAGAGAAGACAATCAGCCCAGTAGATTTCCCATAGAATTAAAAAGGTATATATTCCTGAAGAAGGTAAAATCTCTCTTCACGTGGATAAAAGAAATCCAGTGAAAAATCTGAATTTAGAACCAAAGCTGCTGATTATGGAATGACTGTTTTTCCAGGAGAGGAAAAAGAATCAGAAAGCTGCCTGTAGGATACAGTGTTGTTTTTAGGTGCTGTCAAGTTTATTTGGACTCACAGCGACCTTATAAAACAGAGTAGAACTGCTCCATAGGGTTTCTAGGCTGTAATCTTTATGACAGCATATTGCCAGGTCTTTTTCACACAGAGCTGCTGAGTGGGTTTGAAATCTCCAACTTTTCAGTTAACAGCTGAGTGCTCAATCCTTGTGCCAACAGGTCTCCTTCATGATACAATAGAGAGGCTATATTTAGACTAACTCCTTTTGGTTTCCTGACTGGATAAATGTGTGCAAAGACACATTTTTCAGAATTATTTTAATAACTCAGATATACTGAATGATTTTTGTACCAATATTGTTGTTGTTGTTCTGTGCCGTTGAGTCGGACCTGACTCATAGTGACCCCTCCTTGGGTTTCTGAGGCGGTATCACTATGGAAGTAGATTGCCCAACCTTCCTTCCGAGGAGTGGCTGGTGGGTTTAAACCACCAGCCTTCTGGTTAGCAGTCAAGTGCCTTAGGCACTATGCTACCAGAATATTAGTGGTTCAAAAACTCTTCACACTGGACAATTCAGCTAGGTATGAAGTTTCTGAAAGCCTATGTTTGGGCTGAAATGAGCAGAGTAACTTTGACTAAAATATATAAAAGAGGCATATTTCTAGTTTTGGGAATTAGTCTTCAAGCCTAATTATCAGGGTGTTGGAAGGTAGAAGGAAATGGCCGACCATCTTCCTACAACTATTCACCCTTTCAAGGTTCCTTTTTTTCTTGAGTGGACTGGGACATATTATGTTGATTCAACTTTTACCTATATTAAATTACAGCATGTTTCCTCTTTTTCATTACAGGAAAAAAAAGTTGCGATAAACTTCCTGTCTCTCTAGTTTCATCTAGGAATTGGATTTGTATTATTCTAGTGGAGAGCTCAAATTTAGCTGATAGAAAGGATAATCAATTAACTGCACTGGTCTATTTTGGCAAGATAGCTTTGCATCACTAAAGTAAACAATGCCCTGTTTCCCCAAATTTCACAAGTACGTTTAACCCTGTCTTAAAAATAAAACAAAAGCAAAGTATTCCCTGTAGCTGGAAAAGTCTATTCCTGCGACTGTATGTTAATACTAACCTTGAAATCTTACTATCTACCATTTTACACTCATTTTTCTCCCATAAAAGTTACAGTAAACCTTACAGCCCTGACAGAGTTACCACAAACAGACCTCTATCTGGGAATGATTATATTGCATATGGATTTAACTTAGGGCTGGAATAAGTTAGCACCTTTCTTTGACCTCTATCTGAACATAACACACAGAAAGAATCCAGAAATGATGAGTATTTTACAGCAGCTGGCTCCTACAGGTGGTAAGGCCGGCTTTGACACAAGATGTCTAGTCATTCAGCAAGTGTGAATTTTGGAAGTGAGCATCTGCCAGTCTTATTATTAACTGGAAGGTGTGTTGTTTTTATAAACTTTCAAACTTGAGAAGTTAAAATGCATTTTTGAAACAGAGTCAGTTATAATTTAAGTGAAAAATAAAATAGGGTTTTTCTTGCATTTTTATGTCCTTGAAGAACAAACAGGTCCCTCCTGGGGTCCCAATTCATTAGTAAAGGCTTCCTTCTGGTTTCAAAATTTCAATCTGTGACCAACTGTCATTTAGAAAAATGATAAACACAATAGTCATAAGACACAGATTAGCATTTTAAAAATCCTCAATGGGTAAAGCCACTACAGATCAATATTCTGAAAAAAAAAAAATTGTTTTTGATGACATACACATTTCTTGTTTTAAGATAATTTTATGGGGAGGTTACATAAATGTGAATTAACATTATATGCAGGTTGAAGTTTATGAAGAAATTCTAAACCCAGTAGGGTATCTATGATTTTACTTCCAAATTGTCAGTACCTGATCTTATATAAGAGTTGGCCACTCAGCAGGGATAATTTCATTGCCATAGTTCAGCATCAAATGTAAAGCTCTAAACTAGTACTGTTTCCAAAGGAAATATAATGTAGGTCACATAGTTAATTTTAAAATTTCTACTAGCTACATTTTAAAAAAGTATAAAGAAATGGATGAATTTGCCTTCAGTAATTAATTTACAACAAACTAAACCAAACCCACTGCCATCAACTCAATTCCAATTCATAGCAACCCCCACTGGGTTTCCAAGGCTATAAATCTTTACAGAAGTAGACTGTCCCATCTTCCTTCCACAGAATGGCTGGTGGGTTAGAACCACCAACCTTTTGGTTAGCAGTCAAATGCCTTGGGCACTGCACATAATAGCTCCTTATATTTTATTAATATTATATACTAAAAAAAGCCACCAGTTCCCATTGAGTCAATTCCAAATCCCGGTGACCCTGTGTGTGTCAGAGTGGAACCATGCTCCATGGGTTTTCAGTGGATGATTTTTCAGAAGTAGCTCATCAGGCCGTTCTTGCAAAGCACCTCTGGGTGGATTTAAACCTCCAACTGTCTGGTTAGCTGCTGAGCAGGTTAACCATTTGCATCACCCAGGGCCTCCTTTATTTAACCCAATATATTTAAATTATTATCATTTGATTGTGTAATCAATAGAAAAATAGTAATAAAATATTCAATATTTTTCTATACTAAGTTTTCGACATCCAATGCATATTTCACACTTCAGAAGATCTCGATTCAGACTATCCACAAATAACCACATGTTGTGTTCTCTTCAGGATGGTCTTTGGTACTTCTATGGCATCATTTGCCCATCAGGATGGTCAGACAAGTAAATGATGCCACGGAAGTACCAAAGCTGCCCAAACTGTAGTGTGCTCAGACATATTCTGACCAATGGTTCTCTTAAAGTTTCAGGGATTGGTGCTTCCAAATGGGTTTGTGTAAGATTCTGGCATTGGCAGCAATAACTCACAAATGCTTAATATTTCAATCTTTGCCTTCCTACACCTGCTTGTATTGAAAACTGATCATGATTTTAGAGCTAGTAATCTATTTCCTAGCTAGTAGCTGGACAATCCTACTTCTGTAGTTATATTACCTCGGAAACCCAAGGAGGGCTCGCTATGAGTCAGGGCTGACTCAACGGTACATAACAACAACAAAAAGAAGCTATTTCTTACTCTACTAGGCTGCAGAATAAGTAAGACTCACTAGTCATCAGATCATATGTAATATCAGTTCTTTTTCAATGTTTTATTTATATTTTAATGTAACTCATTCATTTATTCCATTAATATTACTGAAAATCTTCTTAGTACAAGATCCTAGAGAATTTGAAATGCACTGATAAAACAGAGAAGTATTGACTCTGAAAATAAATTCAGGAACAACAGGTGGTAAAATATATTAAAATAACTAATTAGCTTCACTCTCTATGCAACTTTTAAGGATTACATTAATTTTAACTAGAAGTAGAGCTCTATCTGAAATCTACAAACTCTTGAGGACTTACAAATTTGAACAATTCTAGTCTTTGATCCTCAGTAAATACTTCTGCCGATCTCCTTGCTTTCTTACTCCTTGGCAAGTACTAAAGCGATTACCTTAGGTAAATGTTTCTTTATGGTTTCGTTGTCTCTCTCCACCACCTGCATCATTTCTTGGCCCCCAAGGTAAGCAGCATTTGCTACATTAAAGAAAACAAAACACACACACAAAAAAACAGCCAGTTAGAATATATAGAATAAACACAAATGTCAAATTATTTTAATATATTCCTAGACCTCCATTTCTTTAGGCAAGTGTTATCTGATGTGAGATATCAGTGAGGCAAAGAGAGGCATATAAGTCAGGCAACATGCTTAGTCTCTGGAAACAAGAGCATGTCTTACTAAAAAATAAACAAACAAATAAATAAAACTTCTCTCAGCCATATTTGGCTTTCTCAATAGGCAAGTGGAGTAGTATGACAAAATAACATCAGAAAATATAGGAGATAACAAGTATTTGTAAATGTACCTGATAAATATATGTTGTTACAATGATTTAAGGATTAGAAGCATAAGTTGTTTGAGATAAATCATGCATACCAGGGCAACTGCATGAACGTTAGAAACATGAAGTTATGCTGCCATTTTTTTAAAAAAGAAAACAACTAAAAATGATGTTTATTTTAAAACATGTTGCAAGGATCTCTGAGAATTTTAAATAAAGGCGAGTCTCAATGCACTGACTCTAAAATGAACAAAGTGACCCTCACTTCCAAGACGTCAAAGACCTAGGGAAGAAGAAGAAAGACAAAGATAAACTGTGTCACTTTCTTCTATTGGTAAGAAAACTTTTGTTTAATAGTTTGCCTTAAATTCCCTTTTTGATTATTATTATTATTGTTACATTGCTTTTCTTTTTGTTAGCATCTTCCAGATATACCTGTTTTTCCCTTTGTTTTCAATACTTTGCCATTTACATATATCTCTTGCAATCAGAACATAAATGGCAGACTTCTTTAAAAATGCAATTTGAAAGCATCTGGCTGTAAGTAACAGGAGCTCTGGTGGCATAGTGGTTAAAGCATTTAGCTGCTAACCAGATGGTCAGTGATTTGAACTTACCAGCCACTCTGAGGGAGAGAGATGAGGCCATCTGCTTCTGTAAAAATTTATAGCCTTGGAAACCCTATGGGACAGTCCTACTCTGTCTTATAGGGTAGTTATTAGTTGGGATCAACTTGATGCTTGATGGCAGTGGATTTTTTTTTTTTTTTTTTTGGGGGGTGATGGTGGTGGTAATTTGGTCTTTAAATAAGGGAGTCTAGTATATATATTTACATATATTGAAAAGAAAGATATTTGTGTATGCTATGCTTTTGTGTTATTTCTGACCCCTGCAGGCAAGTGATATCTGAGGTTTACCTGTGTTTTATTGACTATGTAAAGGCATTAAACTGTGTGGATCCTAACAAATTATGGGTAACATTGCAAAGAATGGGAATTTCAGAACACTTAATTGTGCTCATGAGGAACCTGTACATAGATTAAGAGGCAGTGGTTCAAATAGAACAAGGGGATAATGCATAGGGTCAAGTCAGGAAAGGTGTGTGTTTGTATATTTTCACTATACTTACTCAATCTCTGTGCTCAGCAAATAATCTGAGAAGCAGGACTACATAAAGAAGAATGTGACATCAGGATTGCAGGAAGACTCATTAACAACCTGTGATATGCAGATTACACAACCTTGCTTGCTAAAAGCAAAGAGTACTTAAAGCACTTACTGATGAAGATCAAAGACTACAGCCTTCAGTATGGATTATACCTCAACATAAAGAAAAAAACCCTTAAACTGGACCAACAGGCGACATCACGATAAACTGAAGTTGTCAAGGATTTCATTTTACTTGGATCTTCAATCAACACCCATGGAAACTGCCATCAAGAAATCAAATGATGTATTGCATTGGGCAAATTGGCTGCAAAAGATCTCTTTACAGTGTTAAAGATGTCACTTTGAAGAGTAAGGTGTGCATGACCCAAGCCATGGTATTTGCAATAGTCTAATATGCATGCAAAGGTTGGACAATGAATAAGGAAGTTCAAAGAAGAATTGATGTCTTTGAATTATGGTGCTGGCAAATAATATCAAATATACCATGGACTTCCAGAAGAACAAACAAATTTCTGTTGGAAGAAGTACAACCAAATGCTCCTTGGATGTGAGGATGGAGAGACTTTTCATGTACTTTGGACATATTACATGTTATCAGGAGGAACTAGATCCTGGAGAAGGGTTATCATGCTTGGGAAGGTAGAGGGACAATGAAAAAGAGGAAGATTCTAAATGAAATGGATTGACACAGTGGCTGGAACAATGGGTGCAAACAAAGCAAGAACTGCGACGGTAGCACAGGAATGGAAAGTGTTTCATTTTGTTGTACACAGGGTTGCTAAGTCTGAACTGACTCAACGGCATCTAACAACAACACGCTTTCTTGTTATTTCTGACCCTCTTCCCATCCCCCTTTAATAAGTTTCTCTCTCTCACTTGCTCCCCCCACCCCTTGCTTTTTAAAAAATTTCCTTTCGTTAAAAGTCTCAAAGCATAAATTTCATTTTTATTTACCTAGTGGATATCCTTGCCTAAAATCATGTAGAAACTTACATTTTTCTTTTATTCTCTGAAGTTCATCAGTGTCTATAATCTCTCCATCCAAATAACGCAGGTCCTTAGCAGATTTTCACTTTCTCTTCATACCTTCTCCATGCCCTAATTTAAATTTTCTCCAGTTTTGTTATTACTTGCCACTGAGTCGACTCTGCCTGATGATGACCCTGTGTGTGTAGAGTAGAACTGCTGCTCTATAGGGCTTTCAAGGCTACAACCTTTTGGAAGCAAGACTTCAGGCCAACCTTCAAGGCACCTTTGGGAGTATTTTGAAAGGCTAACTGCCTCTGCCGACCAGGAATGCAAATCAAAACAACAATGAGATACCACTTCACACCTAGTAGGAGGACTGCTATAGACAAAATAATCAGATATAACAAAGGTTGACAAGTATGTGGAGAAATCAGAACCCTCATACATTGCTGGTGGCATTATAAAAATGATGAGCTACTTTGAAAAAGAATTTATCAGTTTGTTAAAATATTAAACAGTTACTGTATGACCCAGTAATTCCAAGAGAAATAAAAACATATGTTCACACAAATACTTGTACCTTATTCATAATAGCTCCAAAGCAGAAACAATCCAAAAACCTATCAACTTACAAATGGATAAAATAAAATGTGATATAGCCATACAGCAGAATATTATTTAGCAGTAAAAGAGAATGAAGTACTGATATATACCACAACAGAGACACACCCTGACTGAAAACATTATGCTAAGTGAAAGAAGCTAGTCACAACAGGCCACATACTGTATAATTTTATTTATATTAAATGTACAAAATTGGCAAATCCATAGAGAGAAAAAGAAGATCATGCTGGTAATCAGGGGCTGGGAGGAGGGCAGATGTGGAGTGACTACTAGTGGGTCTGGGGTTTTTGAGCTGATAAAAATGTTTTAAAACCAGATAGTTTGAATGATTGCACAACTCAGAGAATACACTAAAAAGCACTAATTGTGTACTTTAAAAGGGTGAATTTTATAGTATATGCATTCTATCTAAATGAATATGTTACAAAAAATGGTAGATGCAGATACTATAAGTTTTTATAACTGCATTCCCTATGTTCACAAAGCCAGAGGAAATATTAAGCATGTTAATTAAAGTCATGGAAGATATATAAAAGAACCATACCAAACTTCTAAAGGTGAAAAATACACTGGATGGGATTAAATGCATAGAACTCATTGTTGTAGGGTGGATTCCATCTCATAGTGAACCTACAGATAGGACAGAGTAGAACCTCCCCATAGGATTTCCTAGGCTGCAATGTTTAGGGGAGCAGATTGCCAGGTCTTTTCTCATGAGAAGTTACTGGGTGGGTCTGAACTGCCAACCTTTCAGTTAGCAATCAAGCACTTAATGCCTGTGCCACCAAGGCAGATAAGACATGGCAAAGAAAGGATAGTGAATTTGAAGACACAGCAACTGAAACTATCTAAAATTAAACACATGTGGTCTCATTTGCCACTGTAACTGGCGACTCCAAAGAGGGAGGTACAGAAAAAATATTTAAAGAATGATTGAAAAATTACCAAATTTTCTGTTCTATGACTGAAAACTCATAAATGCAAGAAGCTCAAAGTACCCCAAAGCACAGGAAACATGAAGAAAATTACGCCAACGTATATCATAATCTAATTGCTTAAAACTAGTGATAAAGAGAAAATTTTCAAAGCAACCAGAGGAAAAAAGATATATACAGAGGAGCCAAGATTAAAAATGACAGTAGATTTATTCTTACAGACAATGGACACCAGAAGATAACATCTTTAAAGTAATAAAATAAAAATATAGTTATTTACCTAGAACTCTATATTCAGTGAAAACAGCTTTCAAAAATGAAGGCAAAATAAAGGCATTTTCAGACATATGAAAGCTGAAGAAATTAATCATGAGCAGAACTGTACTATAAGAAATGTGAAGGGAAATTCTTCAAGCAGAAAGATAAAAAGACCAGATGGAGATCTGATCTGCAGAAAGAAATAAAGTGCATAAAAAATACCAACTATGTGGTTAAATTTAAAATATAT